GAAACAGTGCTAACATGTCATTATCCCAAAACAATGCTTCTCCAGAAACTTCTAGTTTTGTTTATAATCGTTAAAATCCAAAACAGAATCTAAAAGTTACTGTTCTTTGTTGCCAGTCTAACCCATTGTTCATTCATTGTCCTCAATGAACAATATTCATTGCTCAGCAACACTTTCCACTATGTATTCAAAATGGACATTGTACATATACAGTATGTATGTATATAGAATGTGTATATGTGGGTTATGTATGTGTATGGGTAGATATATACTTTTTTTTGAGAGCAGGCAAGAGAATTTCATTTTAATATGGGCCAGTGTGCTCATACTAAAAAATGACAATAAAGGCTATCTTATCCAATACATTTATGAAACATACAGGGATCCGTGCAAGAGATCCTGGCTGATCATTGTCACTATAGCAATACCCCCTGTTCTTAACTAAGAGTGGCTCCTGTTATTTCTGTATCAATCTGTCTCTAATTAAATAACTAATGAAACACTAAGGAATGAATGACTATTGTGACTGATTTTTTTTCAACGCTTCCATGGAAGAACTGCAGCAGTCCAGTTTCATGCTTGCCAACATATCTCAGATGATTATGAACATATGCTTACTTAGGGCTTCTAACTTCATAAAAGTTGCAGGATGCATCTATGGGTGGTTAGAAGGACCACCCTTTTAAATATCTCTTCCATAGGGAATTGGGCATGGTCATTTTAAGGACACAGTCTCATTATTAGGTATGTCTAATACCTTCTTCTTGTGCCATATCCGTTATCGGACATTGGCGATCATGTTGGCGATCCTGTTTTTATCAGCAGCCGCACAAAAAAGTGCTGCTGAGTTTTGTCCAAACCAGTCCCTTAGATTTTGAAGCCACAATGTTCTTCTTCTGCCTGGACCTCGTTTGCCTTCCATGTTTCCCTGGAGGATTAAATGGAGTATGCCGTATTTTTCTGGGTGTCGCATCACGTGTCCGAAATATTCTAATTTTTGCTTTTTAATTGTTTTGATGATTTTCCTTGACTTTCTCAGGCGGCTTATCACCTCCTCATTTCTGATCTTGACCTAACATATTAGATATACCTAATTTCATTAGGTATGTCTAGTAGTACAATGAAAAGAAGGACTAGAGGTGATATGATAGCAGTATTCCAGGATTTGAGGAGCTGCCACAAAGAAGAGGGAGTCTAGCTATTCTCCAAAGCGCCTGAAGGCAGGACAAGAAGCAACGGATGGAAACTAACCAAGGAGAGATGCAACCTAGAACTAAGGAGAAACTTCCTGACAGTGAGAACAATTAACCAGTGGAACAACCTGCCTCCAGAAGCTGTGAATGCTCCAACACCGGAAGTTTTTAAGAAGAAACTGGTCAGCCATTTGTCTGAAATGGTATAAGGTTTCTTGCTTGAGCAGGGAGTTGGACTAGAAGACCTCCAAGGTCCCTTCCAACTCTGTTATTTTGTTATTCCTATTGCCGAAGATCATTGCTCACTGCAGAGCAATGTTCTGCATCTCAGCTGCAACATTCACAGGATGGAATAAGACCTCAAACGTATCAAGTTCTAATAAAGGAGAACAGGATTGAAATGAGGGCACCTTGATGCTCTCTGAGCTTGCAGGTTTTCTTGCAGATATTTCATTTACCCAACTATGTAACATCATCAGTCCTGGTCAAGCCCTTTCCAAAGATTTGAGCAAACCAACAAATAATCCTTCCCACAAATCATTTCACTGCTGTAGGAGAATTATTTTCAGTGCCAATGTTTTGCCCAGCCTTGGACCATGAAATCACCTAAACAGATTTAGCTTGGAACAGGTTGCATTATTATAAAACTAAAATTGAGAGTTTTCATAGTGTTGGCCTGCCATAATTTTTATTAGGAAAATTTGCTTTCATTGCCATAATGCAACATCTTCCAAAACTGCACATACAATTGTATGTGTACGCCCGAGTGTGTCAGTTTTAAGCAATACAATGGGGTTGTTGTTTTTTTAGTTGAATTTTCAGTAGTCCTTGACTTATGACCACAATTGGGCCTAGAATTGAAGTGAAAAATGAACTGTTGTAAGTCAAAGACTACCTGTACTGTATTCCAAGTGATACATAAATAATGTGGAGTCTGTTTTCTGGAATAGGTAACTTTTGCCAGAAAAAGTAAAAAAAAAAAAAAAAGATACAAACACACTTCCCTAGTAGAGGCAATATTGCCACAATCAGCAGCTGTGGATTAAATTAGTGTAAAGTCAGCAATTCAGGGAATACTTAGCCAGCTTTTTGCTTCTCCGTAGTACTGGGAGAAAAAAAATAATAATAATCACCCATTCATACACAGTAATAGAGTAGAGCTCCCTTTGGTGTTTAATGGATGGTGGGGTTAGGAAAGGAACAGACTGAGAAAAATTGGCATAAACTGAAATAACACATTTCCCCAGACGCTTTGAGAGTAGGAAGCTACTCCAATGTGAACATAAATTAAACATAAGACAGCTGAGGGTGATTTAGAGTTCCTTGTGAAGCTGCCAAAGGTAGAGATGGCAAGTCATTGTCACTTTGGAAATCTCAGCAAGAAACTGTCTGCCTTGCTATCTATCTATCTATCTATCTATCTATCTATCTATCTATCTATCTATCTATCTATCTATCTATCTATCTTTTCCTTCCTTCCTTCCTTTCATTCCTATCTCCATTTCTCTCCCTCCTTCCTTTTTTCTCCACCTCCTTCCTTCCTTCCTCTCATCTCTTTCCCTTCTTTTCTTTCCTTCCCATCTCTCTCCCTTCCTTCCTTCCTTTCCTCCCTCCCTCCCTTCTCTCCCTCCCTCCCTCCCTCCTTCCTTCCTTCCTTCCTTCCTCTCAGTCCCATCTCCTTCCTTCCTTCCTTCCTTCCTTCCTTCCTCTCAGTCCCATCTCCTTCCTTCCTTCCTTCCTTCCTTCCTTCCTCTCAGTCCCATCTCCTTCCTTCCTTCCTTCCTTCCTTCCTTCCTTCCTTCCTTCCTCTCAGTCCCATCTCCTTCCTTCCTTCCTTCCTTCCTTCCTCTCAGTCCCATCTCCTTCCTTCCTTCCTTCCTTCCTTCCTTCCTTCCTCTCAGTCCCATCTCCTTCCTTCCTTCCTTCCTTCCTTCCTTACTCTCAGTCCCATCTCCTTCCTTCCTTCCTTCCTTCCTTCCTTCACTTCCTTCCTCCCCTCTCCTTCCTTCCTCCCCTCCTTCCTTCCTTCCTCATTCCTTCCTTCCTTCCTTCCTTCCTTCCTTCCTTCCTTCCTCTCAGTCCATCTCCTTCTTCTTCCTCCTTCCTTCCTTCCTTCCTCTCAGTCCCATCTCCTTCCTCCTTCTTCCTTCCTTCCTTCACTTCCTTCTTCCTCTCAGTCCATCTCCTTCCTTCCTTCCTTCCTTCCTTCCTCTCAGTCCCATCTCCTTCCTCCTTCCTTCCTTCCTTCCTTCCTTCCTTCCTTCCTTCCTTCCTTCCTTCAGACAGTCCCATCTCTTTCCTTCCTTCCTTCCTTCCTCCTTCCTCTCAGTTCCTTCCTTCTTCCTTCCTTCCTTCCTTTTCCTTGCCTTCCTTCCTTCCTCCTTCCTTCCTCCGCTCGTCCCATCTCCTTCCTTCCTTCCTTCCTTCCTTCCTCTCAGTCCCATCTCCTTCCCTTCCTTCCTTCCTTCCTTCCTTCCTTCCTCTCAGTCCTTCCTCCTCCTTCCTTCCTTACCTTCTTTCTTCAGCCCTTCCTTCCTTCCTTCCTTCCTTCCTTCCTTCCTTCCTTCCTCTCAGTCACATCTCCCTTCCTTCCTTCCTTCCTTCCTTCCTTCCTCTCAGTCCCATCTCCTTCCTTCTTCGTTCCTTCCTTCCTCTTCCTCTTCCTCTCCTTCCTTCCTTCCTTCCTTCCGTTCCTCTCACTCTTCTCTCCTTCCTTCCTTCCCTTCCCATCTCCCTTCCTTCCTTCCTCTCAGTCCCATCTCCTTCCTTCCTTCCTTCCTCTCAGTCCCATCTCCTTCCTTCCTTCCTTCCTTCCTTCCTTCCTTCCTTCCTTCCTTCCTTCCTTCCTTCCTTCCTCTCAGTCCCATCTCCTTCCTTCCTTCCTTCCTTCCTTCCTAGATTAGATCTACTCATTTATACAATATCCTTTTTCTTGCAGCAGACCCAGGGCGCGTGTATAGGGTGGCGGCAGCATGCTATTATTATTAAAACGCAGCCTGGGCTATTAATAGAAGCGATTGTCTCCCTCGAAAAAAATTTTTTTTTGCTGATCTATTTTTCTCCCTTTGCCGCCCAACAGCGAACACGCTTCGCAGCACGTTTGGGAGAGATGCAATTTGCGAGACACGTTGTTTTTTTTTTTTTTTTTTTTTAACAGCCCGGGTGAGAGAAGCAGGCAAGGCAGACTGCAATTTTTAAAAAATAAATAAATAAATATAAACGGGGGAAGAAGGGAAAACGGGGCGATTTGTCAAACGCGGAGGAACTTTTTTTTCTGCAGCCGCAGCAGCCTCAGCAAAGGGGCATCGCTGGAGGGAGAAATGAAAGTGTGCGCGCGAGGCTCTCCCTTCTCTCCCACACCGAAGCAGCAGCCATTAAGAACCGGGAAGGCGCAGGTCCATCTTTAGCAGAGCCTGGCAAGAGGGCAGGCAGCCTTGTCTGAATGAAACCAGCCCAGGCATCCTTTCTTCTCTCCCCTCCTCCGATCACCACCACCCTAGCGCGCGCACACACACACACACACACACACACACACACACACACACACACAGGCGCACACACAGCCCAGTCCCTCTAGCCACCTCTCCCCGACCCCTCGCAACGCCGCGTTTCGGAATAAAAGAAGGGGAAGCCCAGAGCTTCGTTCTGCTCGAACCTCTTCCCCCCCCCTTTTTTTTTTTTGTTTCAAGATGATCTCTCCAGCCGGCTCCATCCTCTGCCTAGTTTGATCTCGGCCCGCTTTCTTTAAACGCCGCGCGTTACCCACGGCCCCTCTCCCCATTTCTGGAAACAAAAGGCAGACGTTACCTTTTTTTTTTTTTTTCCCCGCTTCCGCACCTCTGCCGGCGGGCAGCCTCAGCGCTTCAGACTGGCCCCCTGGCCAGAAAGCATCGCGTTCAAGTCCAGCTCAAGTCAGGCCTCGGGGCCTAACGGGGAGCAGAAACCAGCATCCTGGGGGGGGGGGAAGCTTTGCTAGCGTTCAGACGCAGCCCTTCCTCGCCTCCTTCTTTCCTTCCTTCCCCCGGAGTCTGCCGGGCGCATCTCTTCTCCCTCTTAACGGTCCCTCCCGGGCTGGCTCCAGAGGTGGTTCAAGGCAAGAGGCATCTTGCACAGCTGGCGCGCCCCAGACACACGGAAGCTCCCTCGGACATGCAGTGAGCGAGGGACACACACATACAGAGGGACACACACATACAGAGAGACACAGAGAGAGACACACACACACACAGAGAGAGACATACACACGCGCGCGCGCGCGCTGTTTGCAATGCAGTGGGGAGCCGCCGTGCGCCTCCGGGCTCCGAGCATGCTATCCGAGAATAAGCAAGCAAGGCAGGAGCAGCCACGCCACCCACCGGCTTCTTCTGCAGTGGGTTTCCTCCTTTATCCGCTCCCCTCCCCCAGCCGAGATGTTTATTTTATTTATTTATTTTTTTAAAGGCTCTAATGCAGACAAAACACCCGGGTTGAGTAGGGGGGAGGTCGAGGGGGGCCCGGTTACGAGACGGGAAGGCGAAGGAGAGAGAGAGAGAGAGAGCATGGGGAGGTTGAAGGGGGAAACGGCAGCCAGAGCTGAAGCTAAAGGAGCTGGGGGGGGGGTCCTCTGGGTGGGAAGACCACTTTAAGTCTTCAGCTATGGCCTTTGAACATCTGGGTGGGGGTTCCCCCCCCTACATCTGGGAAGGGAAATGGATGGTCTGGCAGATGAGGAGACTAAGACGGATCTCCTTCTTCAACAGCAAGGTGAATCTCCAACTGTATACTGAATCACTTTTGGGCACCGATCACCCTTAGGAGATGCCCCATAAGGTGCCCAGAAGACCTACCCTAGGCAAGCCGTCGGCAGTGCTGACCAGGAAGGATGGGAGATAGAGCAAACCTCTTGGGTTCACAAGCTTAGAAAAGGCTGGGCCAAGTTCTTAGAGCAATGTCCAGAAGAAAAAGGTTGAGTTAAGAGGAATAAGAGAACGACAGAATTGGAATGGACCTTGGAGATCTTCTAGTCCAGGCGTAGGCAACCTTGGCTCTTTTATGACTTGTGGACTTCAACTCCCAGAATTCCTGAGCCAACATCGAAACCTCTTCTCCTCAGCATGGCTAGCTGAGGAATTCTGGGAGTTGAAGTCCACAAGTCATAAAAGAGCCAAGGTTGCCTACCTCTGGCCTAGGCCTAGGCTACTTTATGACTCGTGGACTTCAACTCCCAGAGTTCCTGAGCCAGCCATGCTGAGGGAAAAGGGAGAGGTTTCCAAGCTGAGCCATGCTGGCTCAGGAATTCTGGGAGTTGAAGTCCACGAGTCATAAAGCGGCCTAGGGCAGGGGTAGGCAACCTTTTATGACTCGTGGACTTCAACCCGCCGCAGATCGCCCAGGCAGCCCAGCAGCAGTATGGCAGTCACACCTTCTGCCCGCGCCCTGCACTGTCAACTGTGCATGATGGGATGTGAGGGCAGAGTCTTGTCTACGCTGCCTGGCTGCCATGTCCTTGGCTGCACTGCTCCGTGTGGGCCACGCTTGGGGGCGACTCTCTTTCAGGGGGGCTGCTGGAGAGGAGGGGGGCATGGGGGGAGGCGAGGCTGGGGCAACGGCACGTGTGCCCACAGAGAGGGCTCCGAGTGCCGCCGCCGGCACCCGTGCCATAGGTTCGCCACCACTGCTATATACCATTCCAGACAAATGGCTGTCCAGTCTTTTCTTAAAAACCTCCAGTGTTAGAGCACCCACAACTTCTGGTGGCAAGCTGTTCCACTGGTTAACTGTTGTCATCACTGTCAGGCAATTTCTCCTTAGTTCTAGGTTGCTTCTTTCCTTGATTAGCTTCCATCTGTTGTTTCTTGTCCTGCTTTCAGGTATTTTGGAGAATAGGTTGACCCCTCTTCAACAGCAAGAAGGGGACAATGAGATTGTGAGTTGTGCTGGGGTGGGCAGAGAAAGAAGGAAGAGGGAAAAAAAAAGGTAGGCTTGATTTGTTGATCTTTCTATTTCCTTTCTGGCACAGCAGACCTTGAGTGTAAAAGTTATGATTTGAATTCTGTTGGCAGCAGGAAAGAGAGACGGAGCCTGGGAGAAGTCTTAATGGAAAAGGAGGAGGGGGCCGACAAATCACCCAAGGCAAGCCCCCCCCTTCCCTCTTTATGCAAGACAAAGCAAAAGAAAAGAAAAAAAAAACATACCAGAAAATCCTGGCTAATTTGGCAAAAAGCCACAAGAAAAAGTGCAGTAAGTGGACGTACGTCAGAACGGACAGTTCTGAAACCAAATGAGGCTGACTTGGACTTGAAGCCTGAAATAGAATCCTGAGAAAAGTTTAGTTTGGATTAGAAAATCCAAGAGATGCAGATATATAATGTTGCCTTCTCTCCCGGTGCTCCAGAACGGAGGAGGAGGAGGAGGAGGAGGAGGAGGAGGAGGAGGAGGAGGAGGAGGAAGAAAGAAGAAGAAGAAGAAGAAGAAGAAGAAGAAGAGGAGGAGGAGGAGGAGGAGGAGGAGGAAGAGGAAGAGGAGGAAGAAAGAAGAGGAGGAGGAAGAGGAGGAGAAAGAAGAGGAGGAGGAAGAAGGAAGAAGGAGGAGGAGGAAGAAAGAAGAGGAGGAAGAGGAGGAGAAAGAAGAGGAGGAGGAGGAGGAAGAAGGAAGAAGAGGAGGAGGAAGAGGAGGAGGAGGAAGAAGAAGAGGAAGAGGAGGAGGAAGAGGAGGAGGAGGAAGAAGGAAGAAGGAAGAAGAAGGGAGAAGAAGAAAAGAAGAAGAAGAGGAGGAAGAAGGAAGAAGAAGAAGAAGAAGAGGAGGAGGAGGAAGAGGAGGAAGAGGAGGAGGAGGAAGAAGAAGAAGAGGAAGAGGAGGAGGAAGAGGAGGAGGAGGAAGAGGAAGAAAGAGAAGAAGAAGGAAAAAGAAGGAGGAGGAAGACGACAGTTTGTACTGTTTTTTGTACTGGAGCATCCCTTGAACATCATCAGAAAAGAAAATTCCCATCAGTCAATTGCAAAAGGCAGCTTGATTTGGGACAACTTCCATCCTGGGACTAGACCTTTAACGCTATCAAATAACATTTCCCTATCCCATGTTCTTTGGACGGGCTCAATAGAGGGACAAAAATGCCAAATCTAGTCTAAACATCTGGATGACGATGTGATGAGCCATACTAACTAGTACCTTGAATACAGTCCCAAAACATCTGGAACATCACTTGAACACCCTCGAAATTGACAAAATCCCCATCGGTCAATTGCAAAAGGCAGCTTGACGGGAACAACTTCCATCCTATGACAATATCTGCAACACCATCAAAGAATAACATCTGCCTACCTCAGATTGTTGGGAAGGACTGGATAATTGGATAAAAAGACCAAATCCAGTTTAACCATCTAGCTGACTGTGAACAACCCTAATAAAGATATCTGATTTTACAAAGAAAATAATAAAGTATACTTTCCTTCAAATTAAGTCTGACTCTTGCTAATGACATAGATGTTTCTAAGAAAGGTTGTGGGTTTTTCGACAGTCACAAATATATGGTTTGCTATTGTCTCTTTTTCAAATTATTGTTTTATTTCCCAGATTGGCTTATAACCAGGGTTTTCTGAATATCTTCCTTCCGAGTGCTAAAAAAAAGGTTGACCATCTTAGTGTCCAAGCTTAGACATCTTCAGTCAACCCCTTCTGTTGAAGAAACATCTGCAAGTTTAATCATTTTGAATTCCAGTTGTTAATTTAGAGAGTTATGGGCTTCACTTTCTAAAAAAAAAAAAAAAACCCACGCCCTGAAAAGTATAGATGATTGGAAGGAAACAACCAGGATGGGACTGAGAGAGAACAAGGAGAAACTATATATTCTTAGTTTCAATTATGAGGAAACAGTACTTAGAAGAGGGAGAAGTCAACTACTCAAGAAACTGTGGAATCTTTAAAGAGAGCGCTTGCAAAACATTTCTGGGTGGGAATGGGTGAAGAAAACCTTGTTTTAGTTTTGAAGGATGGCCTTTGAACTTTCCAAGCTTGTTAGTCTGACAGAACAGAACATACAAATCCATTTGAAATACGCTCCTGAGTATTTCGCTTGCTCACGTCTGGGAGTAAATAACGAGTGAATGCATCATTCTTTCACTCTGGTGTAAATGTCTGTTATGGCTTGCTTTTATAGACAGGATGATAGATTAAATGAACGCTTGGTCTGCCCTACTGTGGGTAGCAGTTGCATTCTCCTGTTCCACTCCGATCCTAAATTGTGATAAATTACCCTTAGGAGGTTTTTAAATAGCAAGTCCAGAGCAGTAACCCCAAAACCACAGGCAACTCAACTCAAAAATGCAAAATGGGAATCAGTCATAAAAGGCACCATTCATGTAACGGGATCCATCCAGGGTAACCTGCAAATAACAGAGGGGATAAAGCCCATAAAATAATAACTGCCATTGCACAATGTGGTTCAAATAAGATCTAATTCCACAAGTTGGAGGAACGATTCTCAAGAAGTTTCCAGCCAGCTCCCACAAAGCCGTGTTTCAGCTTCAGAAACAGCAAAATCCTCTTTCATCCATGTCTTCAAGATATTCCTATAACATACAGATCTTTGACTTACGACCACAATTAAGCCCAAAATTTCTGTTGTTAAGCAAGACATCTGTTAAGCAGGTTTTGCCCCATTTTACGACCTTTCTTGCCACAGTTGTTAAGCAAATCTCGGCAGTTGATATGCTAATAATTCAGGATGCTGCTTACAAGCACTGTGTGCTTAGAGCTCAAAGCATTGTTAAGAGACCCCACACACCCACTTTATGGTCTGTTTCTGTTGCTCTCCTCTGGGAGGAGGTTTTGAAGTATTTATAGCAGGACTACCAGATTCTGTAACAGCTTTGTTCCCTATGCCATCCGTCTGGTAAACTCGCAAGATTCGTTTTTCTCACCATGCACATGTATACATAACCCGAACTAGACTGTGGTGTTTCTCTCTGTCATATAATATATGTGGGTGTGTGCATAATTCTGCATTTATTTATTATTATTATTGTCATATTTATGTAGTGTATATCGGAGGTAGTGACCCTTTGAGAGCTGAATGCAACAAAATTTCATTTTCATGTGTGCCGATTAGTGTACATTCAAAGTGACAATAAAGTTATTATTCTATTCTACTTTATTCTACGCTATTCTACCTTACCCTACCCTACCTTGCCCTACCCTACTCTACCCTATCCTACCCTACCTTACCCTACTCTACTCTACTCTACCTTATCTTACCCTACTCTATCCTACCCTATCCGACCTTACCCTATCCTATTCTACCCTACCCTACCTTACCCTACCCTACTCTACCCTACTCTACTCTACCTTACCCTACTCTATCCCACCTTACCCTACCTTACCCTATCCTACTCTACCCTACTCTACCCTACCCTACTCTATCCTACCCTACT